GACAAAAGTCCGTCGAGACCAAGACAAGACCAAGACAAAAGTCCGTCGAGACCAAGACCGAGACCAAGACAAAAGTCCGTCGAGACCAAGACGAGACCAAGACCACGTAAAAGTGGTCTCGAGACCGGTCTCGAGACCAAGACCGGTCTCGAGACATCCAACTCTAGTTTTTTATGTGTAAAATCATTACATATGATGCTAAATAGACTTCTGTGAACAGGTATTACAAAGGGGCTATATATAAAATTTAAAAATTACCCGTTTCTCAAGTATCTTTGTAACTGTGTTCTTGTACCTGCATTATAATCAATCAGCTTCCTTTTGTCCACTTAAAATATGTCTACAGAACTATTTTTGCATGTGTTGCAATTTCAGCTGTCCTCTTGGCTAGATTACTCTTAAGAGAGACATTTTTAAAGTCAACAATAATTTTTTTTTAACTGCATAAATAAAGGATACATAAAAGTCACTGCCAAAAACTGATTGCGGCTTCTACCTTGTTACAGGAATGTTGTTTGTTGCTCAAGATGACTTGATATCATTCACGAGGGATACATTTGACATATGTTTCACATATTATAGACCAACAAGTTATTTATAGCAGTTTTAATACAAGCAATCAGTTTTTGGCAGACAATCACTTTTAGTCACAACACCTGGTCCTCAGGTGGACACAGTCTCTGAATTTGGACACCCCCGCTGTTTCTGGCCCCGGCCAATAATAGCGGTGACATTTAACTTATTATATCTGGTACATTGTAAAACTCAAGGGTTTTTAGTATATCTCCCCCAAACAGCCCTTTTGAATGTCTCCCTAATTCTGAGGTGTCAAGGATGGCAAGTATGTGCTAGGCTTTGGCCCACATCAGTCTAAAATTGTATGTAACCATGAATAACGTGTTGCCATGTCCACCAGGACAGACTGGACAGTATATGATGTAAAACCAATATGCCACCAGTTTATCTCAGTTAACGAGAGGAGCAGGCATGTGTTTGGCTCCTTAACATACTGGACAATAAGTTGTTGTGTGGGACACCAGTAGTCCATGTCTGTTGATGTAACAGTAGTTCATGTTTAGAATAAAAAATCCCAGCTCACTGATTTGATCGGGGCAATAGTGTGCCTAAAATGCTGCATAATTTTGCTGAGAGATCTTTTACTTTGTGGTAATCTTAGATGGACAAAAACCACCAGGTCGTTCAGTGTCCCCTTAGTACTAATGTATCAGAGATGTTGTTGTATTATAACTGAAGTAATGTTGTTAAGTCCTTAAAGTCATATTAATTTATTGTCATGACTGTATTTGAAACTATTTTTATTTTTGTATGATACCTGATTTATATGGAATATGGCTGAAGTAAACTAAAGCCTAAAATACTTAGTCAGTCATTTGTTTAATATTAATTTAACATGATATAATTCACATATAAAACTATGAATTGTGATTTTAAATGGTTTAAAAGCATGTAGAATAGCATATGTAGGCAAGTATATTTCTCCTTTTGTTATCAAGAAGCAAAGACAAAAAGGGGAAAAAAATAAACAGGGCAGGGTTCGGTGGTATAATCATCCGTCCCCACCAATGCTGAAACCAAATCTACGTCCTTGGATCTAACAGAAACACAGTCTAGACTCAGGGAACACAGGAGAATGGGAAACAACCTTGAATAATAACAAAAAATGATAACTATATCCACAGAATATGAATGAAAACACAACCTAAGACAAAGTGCAATATTAGATACACTCAAAACTGTAAAACTACAACAAACCAAGTAAAACAGAGAATATCAAACAGAAACTGAGAGTTCACAACTGAAAACTCTTGGTCCCAAACCCAGGATCATGACAGATACAGATCAATACTGTTCAGATTTTATAAACGAAAAAAAAAAAAAAGGCAAAATCTTACCTTCAACATTTCCATGGAGTGTACTTAGCCCTAAAATCGAGATTGAAACATCATCAAACTCATTTAAAAAAGTTAATTTTCTGTTCAAGCTCGTCCTCAAATTAGTTTCTGAGCTCATAAACTATAAACTGTAAGTGTAAAACTACAGTGTATCCCACACAATGTTAAAGAGACAGTTAGAAACAATCAAATTCTAAGACAAACTTTTTCACCTCTTCATGAAATTTACACAAATAAAAACAGTTTCTTTAATCATCAACACGCAAACAGAGAAAGTCAGTGATGTACTTACAGAATAACTCCAGCATGCAGAGCAAAGAGCGCCTCATCCTCACATCCAGCTCTGCTGCTCTCTGATGCAGCTAATCTTTAACTGTTTTACTTCAAACTAAAAATTTAGCAGAAGGAAGAGGTGTAGTTCTTTAAATAGATACGAGTGTGACAGTGTGTGTGCAACATGATATTCAACCTTTAAAATGATCCAAGGAGTCAGCTAACTAGCTAAAATTTTGGTAACACGATCATTTTTTTATGTTATTATTTATTTATTTATTGTTTTGATTGTGCGACGTAAAAACCAATTCAAGTTCAAGCTCTGAGTGAAACGGCGTTAACCGCGTCATACACTGAGACTGTCCTAAAAATGGTTCCTTTAGTCGATAACATTCAAACAGAAAGAGTCCCCCGATAGCAAAGTGAGTCTGAACCGGATCCGCCCTAAAGTCACTTTGTAACATGGGTCAGTGATGTACTTACAGAATAACTCGACCACGCGAAGAGCGCTTCATCCTCACATCCAGCTCTGCTGCTCTCTGATGCAGAGCTAATTTTTAAGCGAAGAAGAAAAAGACGCTGTAATACATGTAAGTCTGTAGCTTCTTCCTCTAACTGGCCTCTCTGTGTTTTCACTCCAGCCTCCAACAGCAGCTCCAACAGCACCTATGACGTGTTTACAATCCCGGCCCACTGAAAACAGAACCGCGATTCTCATGTTGTTCTCCTTCGCTTTTCTATAATAAAACATACTCTCTTACTTTAAGTTGGGCAACAGTTTTCTTCAGGTTATACTTTTCACTTCTTTCTTCTAAAGAAAATCAGATTTTTTTTGTTCCCGTATCCTGTGGATCGACATCCGGGAATTTTCCTCCGCTGCCAGGTTTTTGGACTCAGTGGCTGGAAGTCAGCATCAGGTTTCACTGTGATGGTTAAACAGACTTGTTTGAATCTCATTTGTCCAAAGGATGAACTCCCAGATTTAATCAGGATTTTTTTATGTCCTCCTTTAAAACAACAATGCTCTGTGACGCTTGTACATGCAGGTTTTTACCACCATTAACTACGTTTTAAAGTGCAGTGAAGTTCAGCCACATTCAGCCGTGGTGTGAATTATGGAACGCCAGGACTGCCACAATGAATTAATTAAATACACCATTGAGTAATTAATTAAATGTGGCAATAATTAATTAAAATTGGAAATAATTAATTAAAATGGGAAATAATTAATTAAAAATGTTTTGACACATTTAATTAATTAATTATTGCCACATTTAACTAATTATTTATTTATTTCACATTTTAATTAATTATTGCCACATTTAAATAATTATTTAATGGTGTATTTAATTAATTCATTTTGGCACACTTGAGTCCTTCAGGTCTCACCATGAAATAATTTTATCTGTCAACCTCACCCATGAAACTCAGGGGGCGGGGTTAACGCTGATCGAGTAAAAACCATTGCTTTGGCCTGGTGGCTAGCGGTGGGTTTTAATAATTGATTCATCGATTAAAATCTATTCTGGCTTGGATAACGTGATATCAATTTATTAAAATCCTGAATCGATTTTTTTATATAAATGTATTTTGCCCAAAATTCCAGAATCTCAGGTGAAACGTCACAAAATTTTGACAGCCACCAAACATTTAAAACAGTAAATGAGAGCAGGTACACGGCTTCTGCATAAAGACGTAAACACAAAGCGCGGACCGCGGATCAGAATCGGTGAGATGTCGCCTTTCTCACCCGACGGCACGGACACGGTCGGGGCTGAAAGCCGACAGCTCGCTGATTCCGATGTTTCGGTGGTCCGCGCTTTGTGTTTACGCCCTTTTTGCACTGATTCCAAAGCTGTTAGTTTTATCTCTCTCCAAACAATATTGACCGAACCAGCAGCAAAAGAAGATCCAAACTAAGCTTCATATAAACATCGTCATGGACTCCCTCTTACTTTTGCTGTTTTGCTTCCACCACAATAAAATCACACTTCATGCACAGCTCTCTCTCTCTCTCTCTTTCTCAGTGTACTTCAAGAACAGTTTCCCGTCTATCCTCGAAATCTGTTTTCTGCATTATTCGCTGCTTGTTACGCACAAGTCTACCGTTATTTACAGCGCTGTCGCCAATATTTTTTTTTCCTCTTACTTACTTCCGAAAAGAAAACCTAATTTCTGCCGTTCAATAGGCTTCTGAACAAATTTAAACTTTTTAAAATTATGCAAAATGCAAAACGTTTAGCCGTGTCTCTAATAAACCCGCTGTAACTTCAGAGGTAATGTTCATAAGTCGATTAATGGTTTTCTTTTGTTTTTGATGTACTGCAGAATATTTTTTTATAATCCCAGGCCAGGAAAACCACCATGTTTTTCTGTGTTTTATCTTCAGCTACTTTGACACAAAGGCATCTGCTGTGATGCTCACACCTTTGATAAAGTCTGGAAAGTGTCAGCTTCCTTTTTATAGATACAAAAATATGTAAATGTACTGATCTGAATTACAATATTTTTGACTGTCTGAGGCAAAATTTCCCAGATTCAAATCGAATTGAATCAAATCGAATCGAATTGAATTGAATCGAATCGAATCGATTCAGGACCTTGTGAATCGGCATTGAATCATTCTAGAAATCAGTGACGATACCCAGCCATACTGGTGGCCATTGTTTTTAGCACACAACAACCGGCATGTTGAAACTAACAGAACTGAACTTTGAAAAACCCTGTTTGTGTGTCACTAAATACCGTTTTAATATTTTTTTAGCCGAGAATGTAGCGGTTTAATCTTCAGATGTCTGGCCAGTTTGTCAAGATACAGCCTCTTTGCAAAAGTGCTTCGATGATTTCGGAGATGTCTGCCCAGTCTAACGGCAAAGTGTGGGATAGACCCGCTCGCCTCGCAAGCAATCGAGCTGTTATTACCACCGACAAAGCGCAGGCCCCGGTACACAGCTGTAATAACCCCCGCTGACACTGACTTCTTTTACTGAGGCTATATTTATCGGGGTTTTATTTCCTGATGTTCTTATGTGTCCTACGTGTTTCAGTCGCCAGTTCTGAATTATAACTAACATTAAAAACATGTTTAAGGAGGAGAGAAAGCAAATAAATTCGATTAACAGCTGATCTTTGGGTTTTTGTTCAGTAATCAGCGTGACCTGTGTATAAACACATAAAAGAGATAACGTTGGTGTTTCTGTCATGTAGTAACTGCTGGCTTTAACTGTACAAAGGTTGTTCGACACTATGAAACACATACAGACTTCATGATGTTCGGCTAATATCCCCAGGCGTAACATGTCGACGTTTTGTCACGTCCCGCGGCGTTCCTGAGGAACGCGAAAGGAGACCTTCGGCGTTCTTATGGTACGCGGCGGGTTATGGCTGAAATCCAGTGCAATGATGCTCCTGCGGTAATAGACGTTCCAGGCCTGTATTCCAGCCCTAAACCTAACCTTATCCCTAGCCCTGACTATAACCTTATTCCTGACCTTAACCAGGACTTTAATGATGTTAAATAGCGTGTTTCTAAGCGATTTGAAGAAAAAGAGCAAACATGTGTAGATTCAGTCCAGACGGTTCTCATATTTCCTGTTTTTTCCGAGGTCGTCATTTAGGAACGTGTTGGGTAGCCGAAAACGTAATATTGTGACGATTTGTCACCTAGCCTAAAATGTTACGCTTTGGGAGTGAGAGCGAGGTCAGCATATCCATGATATCTTCAGCTCTATGAGTTAACACAGTTTCCCGGCTGACTAATCTAACGGTCATCTATGAATATGTCACGGGTCATATCAATATGATTTTATAGAAAATCATCCTTATTACTGCCAACTATTCCAGAGACGTGAAAATCTACAGCATAAAGAACAAAAAAAAATATAGCAGTCTAATGCAACACTGTAACAGAGATGAACTGTCAGTTTGTCGCAGATCAAAGTGGAATGAAAGTGATTGGTTGAACAGGTGTTCGTGATCTGTGTTTTCTGCATTTTCATCAGCGTAAGAGACTCATATATATCATATATATCACAATTTGGTTTAGACAGCCCCCTAGTGGTGAAGCTGAACTAACCCACATAACTCCTATCAACACATCCCCTTTTCTTTAGATGTTAACTGCTGAACAACACTGTGGAAACATACCTAACATTGCATAGCTTGAATTACATCACAAGCATTCGTGACAGTGTAAACTACTGAACACACAATAATGCAGAAAGTTCCTTTTTGATATATGTATATACATATAGCTATATATGTATACACCAACATATACATATATCAGAATCAGAATCAGAAAGGGTTTATTGCCAGATGTTGAGCAGGTTTACAACATTAGGAAATTGCTGCGGTGCTTCAGTGCAACATACTGTC